AAGTCATTTTGTCATTAGCAATTCTTCTGTTATTAAGGAATTCAAATGGTGACGATGTAAAATTATTAGGACGGGGAGGACGCACCTTGAAATGCAATATAATTCACTACCTTTAATACAGGAGGTTATAGGTTTCGTTGGAGAGGTTGGAGATCGTTCCGACGTTCAAGAATAATGTTTTGACTATTTTAAGAAACTATTTAAAAATATTAAGCTCTTTGTCAGTCGGATAACAAAATGGGTATTTAATGGGAGTTCTATTTTTTAAAACTACTGTTTAATAAGTGTACCTTCTCTAGGACTCAAATGTTAGTAGTAGTAGTAGTATATTGCAAAAAACACCCAACCTCTTTTATAAATTTTAGTTAAACCCGTACTCAGAACCGACTCACGAACCTATTAGGTACCATTGAGTTTTTAGTTCTCTACGTTTACAGGTGTATTGATTTAAAATTACTGAAGATATTTTTAAATACTATATGAGCGAAATGTCACGTCAGCTTCGACACACCCTGTACACGCTCGAATTGAACGCGTTGCCACGAACTTGTTCCACGGCCGTTGCCAATTCATTATCGGACTTTCATGCTCTATTTGAAAATCTTTTCTCGGTCGACAACATTCTACATTTTCTACCTTATCGTAAACGGATAGAGTTTAAATTTATTTATTGTTGTGATATCGATAAGACCCGCTGGAAACGGACATCGAATGATTACTAGGCTTGCATGTTCGGATTTCGAATGTCGTATTTGTTAAGTAAACGTCACGTGAATTAGAACTGTATTATGTTTGATTTATAGTTAATATTTGTGATGAGAGGGGCGATGTATGTTGGTAGAGAAACTCGATGTTTTGCGGCGGCGAGAGAGGGCGTGCGATAAATAACCGCCTTTGTGCCGTCACCGCTCAGCTATTAAAATATATTCAGAGATTGCTTGCGCTTTTTGTGGTGAGACTTGGCCGAGTTCCCGCGCCACAGACTTCGAGTATGGCTTCAAGTTTGTTAAACCACAGTTTTAGAACATTCACCATTAGATTTTATAAAAGTGTGGTAGTTATATCGTTGGCAAAGGTGATATTGGCTTAATAAAATATATTTTTTTAATTATAACATTGTCATTTAATATTGCTTACTAGACATCCGAGTGTAAGCAACAAGTTGATTTGTGATATTACGAGATTTTAGTTATGAATCCGAAAAAGGAAATTTCTTCAGCTGGAATCAAGTAGCTAAATACTAAATATACTATACATAATTCATAGAAAGATATACAAAGTAAAATGTATTTAATTCGTTTTAAATTTTACATTCATGTTCCTAAGTAACAACTACCGCCATCTCTTATCGCTATTGGGAAATAAATTTAATAGTGTACCAACGAACACAATTTTTCAAGAACAGCGCTTCTAACTTCTACCGCTTACTTATTAAGGGTTGGAAATGGAACAATAATCACTTAGGCGTAACATAGAAATATTTCCTTTTAACTTTTAAACACTACAATTGAAGAAGATGGGTTTCCACTGCCGAAACATTGATACAAAAACGTTACCTCAGTTTTTTTTTCAACATCTATGGTAAAGTGGTAAATGGTAAAGAGATGCTGCCTTCGTCTCTGTGATAGCGTGTAGATAAGCTTAGACACGTGCATGTTATGAAGAGCACGTGTTCAGCTACGAAAACGCTCGTTAAACGTCTCCTGTTTATAGGTTTATAACATCGTTTATAGCGTTTCCTACATCCCGGATATCCAGGATGATTTGTCTGATATGGTTAATGATGATGACTGATGAAGAAGAGCATTATACTATTACTAGTGCGGCATATATCCAAATCAAGTTAATTAATCTTTGGTTTTCTTTACGGAATATCAAACAGAAATAATGCTTTTTAAAAGCAGTTTCTAGTTAAAATCTCAGTTTAAATTGATTATTGACTAATCAGCGAAATTACTAAATCCTATCCTTAATCATAATTAATTAAAAAAATTGTCAGTAAGTTTCATCTTCCTATCGAATTGCACCTATTCTAAAAGCTAATACTCGTCAATCTTAGTATAAAAAAGCTTTTATTCGTTAGTTAATGATATTTGACTTGGCTGACTAATTAATTTCTGGAATGGGACAAATCGACATAAGCAATAAACTCATAATAGACATTCCTGAATGGAATATTTACGTGACAAGTATGCGATTAATATTATTTGAGATACTTTCTTTATTATATTAATACGATTAAGAAGCAAAGTCCCCAACTAAATTGAAAAGCAAAGCGATATTTAACAAAGTTTGTCCCCCATAAAAACTTTTTTTTTGTATCATAAGGTGGCAAACGAGCGAGCGGCCACCTGAAATCGCTGAAATAGCAAACGACCGTTGCTAATAGACATACGCAATTGCAGATGCGTTGCCTGTTAGAAAGAGAATATTTTCCGTTTCCAAGGATCCTCTTATCCAGAAAATCCACTTCCACTTGCCATACCTTCCTTATAAGAAAGAAGGTGGGAAGGGAAAGAGCACAAAATTAGGCCTCCGGGACCACATTCATCAGACATAATTTCTTCCTCTTAACGTCTGTCTTCTGTGTGGTATTTTAGCTATCATTTAGTAATTAAGGTTTCTGCGCCATTTTTAGAAAGCTTTGTGCGTAAGAAAGCGCACCTGTATTTTTATGTTTGAGTGCACGTTAAATTTTATCGGATCTTTTATTGCGAAGTAATAAAATAAATAACACAGGTATCAGTAGCGGATACGTCTTTGACAATTTAATTAACGGGGTTAGAAGTTAATCGGTAACTATTAGTTAACTTAATTGCTTAATTACAATTCAATTAACTTTAATAATAGAGCCGACGCGGTCTCTGGTAACGGAATTAACTACTTTTTATTACTTAGGTAGTTAGTCATGTAAATTGCTAATATGACGTATATTAATTGATTTTAATAGCCTGATCTTATTTCTTTTCAATTATTAGTGATTATAAATTAATAATAATTAAATTCGATTTTATGTTTGAACGAATGTGTTCAATTTTATAGCTATTTTTTAAAAAACTATCTTATGAAAACTTCGAAGTTATTCTGCATAACAAATTGCGGTGCATAGTGAAATAATCCAGATGCTGTAAACCGGGGCCCGCAACCGTGGCGTATTAATTAAAGCGGGCCGGAGAGGCAGCGGCGCGGTGCAGTGCAGGGCACGCCGGGAGAGGATTAATATCTAAATAATGAGGCAGACGCCCCGCCCCGGTATGTACAGATAGCAAATAAATATTTTTAAATGTGCGAAATTTTAGAAAATGAGAAAAATTTTACTTGTAAATTGTATGACCCTTTGCTCTGACGTCTTCTGAAACAAAGTTTTTAAGTATTTTTTACATTCTAAAATGTACCAAAGTATTTTGAGGCTATCGCTTGAATCTTGTTTATCTTTAGATGGCCTTATCCAGAAAGTTCTACTGAGAAACGATGTATGCAATTTATTAAATATGTTTTTTAAAATATTTTTCCTGTCGGTACATAGTTGTGCACCGTATCTCTCGAGACAGCACTCGACGCGTGCGAGGGTGGGGCGGGGGTGAGTTCCGGAAAAATGTCGTCCACCGGCACTGATTTATACGTCTATACGTCACCGTCTGTCTGTCCGTACTCCGTGTGGCTGCTATTGCTGCGGATACACGCCTCGTTGATATGCGAACGTTGCACAAAGGGTTGCTGTGCTCCTTCGCAAGATAAATGTTTACGTATTTTCTCTTCTTTTTTGTGAATCTTTCTTTTTTCTCCGAAAGAAACTGAGTGAAGTTATTGTAGTTTTTTTTTCGAATTTAAAAATATCGTTTTAACGTAACAAAATCTTTTCAAATATCATGACGGCCCAAGGTCGTCGCCGCGTTGTACATTTCCTCCCCCCCTCATCCCGCTACGCCCCGCCGCACTTTAAATTGCGTTCGACACAGCGACTCGAGCGAAGTTCAGAGCCGCCAAGATATCTGAAACGTTTATACTAAATGAGTTATCATCATAACATTGATTATCCCACGTAAGGTCGGCGCTCCAAGTTTTCGTTCTCCAGATGTATCTTCCGTCACCTAAGTTGTCACTTCCATGTGGATCATTTCTCGCAACCCATCCATCTAGTTTTAGCCCCACCAGTGTACTCCTTCACATTAGGTGTATCATGATGATTATATATAATTGTTAAATATTATTAACAGAGGAACCAATAAACTTCAGAAACAATTAATTCTTAATAAGAATAAAGATTGAAATTAATACTCAATTTCTATTAAAAAGTCCAGCCCTGTTGAAATTTTCATTGGCGCGCGGATGTGCATTTTATCGCTCAGTCTTTAAAGATCATTTTTGATTGTTTGTAGAAGTGAAGCTCATTTGGAACGTGCCCACTAATTACTCAGTTAATATCATTGAATAAGCTAATGTAATTGGATGCGCTATGGAATGAGGGATAATTACAACTTGTGCGTGTCCTTGTACCTTATAATAAAGCCCCTAGGGTTATGTAGTGTTACCTGATTGCCTCGATTTGTTTTTTTTTTCATTCTTAGGTATCAAAGTAATACTTTAATCTGGTTTGAAAATATTATAAGAACAATGTTAGGGTGACTGCCTAGATATAGGTATCGTAAACACAACCAACATTTTTTAAAGTTCACTTTCCTGATTTTAATTTTTTCTAATACAACAAATTCGTAGTCTTAGAAAAGTCCCACACAATGTTGCTCATTAAAACGTTTTATTTTCCTGTTTACCTCATACATACAGCTAACACAAAGACGTCGTGTTTTGTATAAAGGCGGTTGAGCCGAAACTATATTTTTTATTAATTGAAGACAACGGATTTTTATTGTAAAAAGAATTCAACTCTAGAATTCAAAGCTCTATGGTTGCAATATATTGAATCGTCGGAGCGGCAACGCTGCGTCGAACAAATGCGACGTTGCCGCTCCGGCCGACACCGCTCTCCGCAGTCGCCGGCAGTCTCGCTAGAGCGACAGTGCGTCATTGCTATAACTGCGCTTTGTTATGGATTCCAATTCGGATTCATTTGACAATATGCCGCTACCGAAGATCGAATTAGAAGCGGAACCTGAATCACCGACGCACAAGAAAGAGGTTCGTTACAATTGGAACACTGAGAGCACAATGAAACTCATCGAAACTATGGAGAAGGAGTGCAAGGAATTGTGGGACGTAAAACATCCGGCGAATAAGGACAGAGCCGCCCGGCAAGCCCGAATGGAATATTTGGCGGGCATTTTCGATACGACCTTGGAAGAGATAAGTCGAAAGATACACAATTTGAGGTCTCAGTTTAACAACGAAGTGCGGAAGATACGGAAGAGGACGGGGGGCCTGGTGGCGGCGGGGATAAGCAGCTGGGATTACTTCGACGCGCTGTCATTTCTACTGCGCACGCCCCCCGACCCCCTCGACGTACCACTCGTCGCACCCCTTAAGGGGGTCAACCTTGCGGTACGCTATTTGTTATAATCTTTTTTACTTCCAACTTTGCATTGTCTGTGTTTCCTGATCCTGTATTTTTGATATAAATGGAGTGAACAGATATTCTAGATTACTTATAACTTAAATGTTATTTAAGCCATTAATAACGTCCTTTTTATATTATAAAGAGGACGTTATTACCGCGAATGGAAAGCGGATGAAAAATTGCTTTTATAATGGAATAATGAGAACTCTCGGTTAATATCTTTTAATCCTTTACACGGATAAAAGTTTGAAGCTGAGTATTGACTTCTGTTCTACTTCTACTCTTTACTACCAGGTGATATACTCATTTGCCGATTTCTTGATATGAACTATAACTAATATTGAAAATAAATAGAAAGAAATATAAGCAATAATAAAGGTGGTCGTCGACACAGCTAGCAGAGTTCCAAGCGGAGGAGGAAGTGGCATTCGGCAGGGGAGGCCGTATGAGCCAAAGCCCGCGGATCCTGATGGTGCGCAATGTCTGCTCCTCGTCACCCAATCCTCTACCTCAGAAGGTCTGGAACGAGGAACCGGTCATACTCGTTAATCAGGAACCCCGTCCTGATGACTGCCAGGTACAACTTTATTTTCTTTGTTAGAACAAGATGTTTTTAACGGTGACAAATCTTGTCGTAAGTTGCAACTATGTCAATTCATTAAACAAATAATGTTTATGGCTAATGATACAATCGTAGGTTATTCACAGAACAGCTTTAGGATTTAATCTTTAAACGCCAAAATGATACGTACCAATTCTGTACAACCTACATACATTCCTTAGATCTTGGAGTTGAGTGACGTCACAAAGGATCTTGTACACACAGCCTTATAAGTGGTACTAAAATCAAACGCAATATTGTCTAACTAAATGTTAATCTCCCAGGTATTTGGTGACTTCGTAGCGTCGCAGTTAAGACAGTTGCCTTCTCAAGAGGCACGCAGTAGATTGATGCAAATGATACAGAAAGCAGTCCTACAAGTCGCGCAAGAGGAGACTGAAGTCGCCCAAGAAGAAAATTAAAGCTATATTTCTGCTACTATTGAGTCAAAGAACTAATGTAGTGTGAGGTTATGTTGTCTCCATAAAAATGTATGCATTTATTATGCTTATGTGTTCTAAATCTTAAATATTTAAGAAAAATAAAGGGACAGACAGATGGATGGATAACAAAGTGATCCTATAAAGGTTCCGTTTTTTTCTTGTCGATTTACGGAACCCTGAAAACAACTAGATAACAACAAAAGTATGTGATTTATGTAAATATTTAATCTATATATTATCGAAGATAATTATAATTATGTTCGTTGGCGTAATAATATATTGAAGTAAAAATGACAAAATATTGTTTGATTTCAATTCATCTATCATCGCACATTTTCTACGGTTTCGAATGAAATTATTTCCGGTTATCAAGTCCGAAACAACTGCTCGTGGCGAAACCAATCAGTGTCAAACGCTGCCCCACCCTTATCGATTCTACCCCTATGTTATTATTGCAGTAAATTGTTGTCATTTTGGGGTTAATAAACGAGGTGACTTTCTATATTAGACAGCGTATGACTTAAAAAAAGGTCAAATATGGTACGCTAGTAAAATTTATTATTATAATAGTGTATTTTACCAACGGCTCCAAAACTGTATTTTTAATCTTACTAATATTATAAATGCGAATGTTTCAATGTATGGATGTTTGTTTTAAATTATCTTCAGAACGGCTGCATGGATCTCGCTGAAATTAGGCAGTTGTAGAACGTACAGAATACTAATTATTTTTTTTAAAGTCCGCGCGGACGGAGTTGCGGGGGACAGCTAGTATTAAAATATATCTATCGTAATAAAAAAGTGGTATTTAACTGTAATATGGATGTAATTAGTGACAGTTGCATTGTCACTAGACAACTAAACAAACAATGAAGGTGCCCAAAATCAATTTTAACTCTCTATACCAAAACATGATTAGGGTTGACAACACGTCCGAGGTCTAAAGTTTGACAATAGTAATTTTAACTGCTTTTTATAACAGAAGAGGCGAACGAGCAGCGGCAATACCGAGGTGTTTAACAACGCCCATGGACATCAGCAATACCAGAGGAACCGCAGATGCGTTGCCGGCCTTTATCAATTGCTTATCTATTAACAAACACTTCCAGGCTATACCTCAGTACTGTAAATTAGTTCATGTGATCATGAGGCTACTTTCCACTTGTCTTAAAAATCGTCGTTCTCCTGATTTAAGTATTGAACGTCATAATGGAGGGAAAAGATTGTACGCACGAACGAGAATATCGTGAAACTTATTGTAGGATAAGGCCAGAGAGTGAAAGAGACAACAAGATAATACGTACTCAAGTTTAGAAAGTAATCTAAGAAGTTCTATTTTCGGAAAAACTTTTTTGCCTACGACAAACGTTCTAGGGGTTTTATTAGTGTCAAAAGTCTACATTCGATTTAAATATTGTGTGCGGTCAATTAAGTGGCAGCCCTGACTGCGCTAGACACAGGTGGGAGGGCTTACGAAGGGCGAGGGCTCACCTAATTGCTTCCTACGACGACAGTACCGTGGGCCTTCAACCCTTGGGGTGCGAGACGGCCACTTTAACTTACCTACACAAATTGATATGAATGCCCTTTAACAGGCAAATGGGATGAAATAACCTCGAGTAGTAAAAGAATTTATTTCTTTCCGCATAAAGAAATAAGAACGTACTTTACGATATCATGTATTGGTAGAGTAACTGTCGCGCGCGACTCCGTCCGTGCGAAGTTGGAAAAAAACAAAAGTAATAGACTTTGTCCTTTCATACATCTAAAAATTTGTATTTATAATATTAGTTAGAAGTAATATATCTGTAGTTATTTGTATTAAGTTTAAAAACCTTGTATATTATTAATCGTTCCGGAGGCCTAATTTAGTCCTCTTTCCCTTCCCATCCTTTTCTTTATAAGGAAAGGATGGGAAGTGGGAGTGGACTTTACGGATGAGAGGATGCATGGAAAGGGAAGATATTTTCTTTCTGTGCATTCTCTTCTCCGTCGATTAAAGGTAGGCAGCGCATATGCAATTGCGTATGTCTATGGGCAGCAGTCACTTCGCTATTTCAGCGATTTCAGGTTGCTGCTCGCTCGTATGCCACCTTTTGAAATAAAAAAAATCGTAGTTTTCCGAATGAGAAACTACAGACTTTTACGATGACGTAACTTTAAAAAGTTATGACTATCAGACATTAGTTCTAATATAAAACTGATGCCTAACAACTGGCTTAGATATAAAGTAGGTAGGTATTTGTATTATAATTTGTAGCACTATGCACGTAAAGGGTCTCTTCGTCTAAATTGGGTAAACACGGCTTAGTTATACTCTTACCTAAAGCAACAAAACAAACAATGACGTGGGTGCGTTGTGCAGTGCGCGATGTTATCCCACGTCAGCGATAGCCTAATTGGTAGCCTGGGAAGCTTTCACACACACACATTCATTCAAAGAAAGTATATGATAATATATTCGTTAAAGAAATATATATACATAAAAGCAATAGTAAATTAATTGGTCTCTTAAATATTAGGAAACTAATAAAATTGATTAATAGATAAGTAGCAATCAGTTCAAAAACAGTCAAATCTGAAACTTATACGAATTCAAATAAGCCTGTGCAAATATCCCCTAAGGTTACCAGTGAAAACTCTCATCTGATGGCTCTCAGACCTAAAACTTAATTAGACAAAAGCACGTTGGTGATTTTAATTTCGGGGGACTTTAACTTTAACCGAGAGTATTGTGGTTAAGTTACCTCACGACGTGTAAAATGCTATATTTTCCCACAATTTCATGTTTCTGCGAGACGAAAATAATCTAAAAGCGATCTTCGATCGAATCTTTTGCGATATCAAATCTTATATGTAGGTAATGTATCGACACTTATCTTTTTAAACAAATAAACGCTAGCAGAAAGTCTTTATCTATATATCTAATTAATTCACAATGTTTACAATGCAAATATGTTAAGTATAAAAAAACTGTTTCGATTACTTAAGGGTATACTAATTAATTATACGATATTAACACTCTAATAATACGATTAACTTTTTATTACAATTTTTTCTCTTTAACAACACGGGCCCAGCAGATTTCCTTCAAGCTAAATGGAACGAAAAGCAAAAACCGCGTTTTACTTTACGACCGTATTCGCTGCCACATCTACGTACCGCGTCTCTCTCTTGCACACCAGGCTGTGTGTTGCTATCTCGCTTTCGCGTGCGTCGACCCTGACGTAGTATGATTGCTGGTTAAGGCCTTTGGACACGAGTCGAGATAAAAATTCAAGAGATAATAATATTTCTTCCGGATTTATAAAAAAAACTATATTACTTGGTTGTAATTGCATTTATTCACTTTCATGTTTGTAAACAATAACGTATTATGTTATGTATACATACTAATGTTACAGGATATCTGATGTTTTTTAATATACTATTATATTAGCCATTCATTTTTGTGTTTCAAAAATGTTTAAGGTACCTTACACTGTGAGGATTTTTTTATTGCCAAAATTTAAAAAGTAGAATATTAGATTAATCTTGTTTATAGTTTCGGATCTAACCGTTGATGTACCACAGCCCTTATAATTCCCATGTAAATGTAAAATCATATCGGACTCCGGTCTAATCTTGACGTCTTTCAATAAATAAATACATCAATTGAGACATCTTGGTCTCACCAAGCCTTGATAACATTGATCAAAGGACCAGTGTCTTATTTATCTGACGTAAGAAAATTCGCTTCGTCTTCTCTGTCAGAAACTACACTTAAAGGAGTAAGAAGACTCTATCTAAATCTACTAAGATCTTCTTTTTATTTTTTCTTTGATTTTTTATTACTGACATTTTATTTTGCCTTAAACCGATAAACCCAATAGTATCCCGGCATAACTCTATAAACAAAGTGGAGATAATGTATGATGCGAGATACCTCCAGTTCCGTGAAGCGATTACTGTATTTTCCGCAGACGCTCTTCCTTCATTGGGTTTTCCTTTTACTGCTGAATAAAATTCTCATGTACTTATCAAGTTACATACATTTCTTTCATATTTTTTTTATAATTCTTAAAAAGTAACAAAGCAGCAGCAACTAATTTTTAGAAATGTCAAATTTTTCTCACTTAATATAAACTTAATTATAGCATATGTTTTTCATTAAAATAAAATTAAACATTTGTTACCGAGTTCAATGAAACATAAACAAACAACAACAAGCCGAAAACTAACCGACGGCATTTTATGGTCAACTATTTCTACACTATCTAGTAGTTGTGAGTACCAGGGTCGCATAGGACGAGACGGGTGTCTCGGCGCGCACTGCCGGCGGTACCCACCGCGGCGCGCTCATGTGAATGACAGATACATTCTAACAACGCCCGCCGTCTTTGTTCTAATAATACTATTAATAATTTCTGAACACCGCTTATGAAGTAATTTATTACATTGCCTCACAATCCATTATGTTTGTACGATCATTCACCGATAAGTACATATTGAAACGCCGTTTATTATGTGTTTGTTACTGCTGAAATATTGTCCGTAATAATTATGGGCGATTTTATTCTATTCGTGATGGAAATAGAGACATTTTATGGTAAAATTTAGAAATTGTCTGTGGTAAATGATCTTTTAACGTATTTATTGCTACTATGAATAGTTATGGGGGCGATGTTAGCTTAATAAATGTCTTAATATTAAAATCAAGCTGTCGCCCTCGACACAGTTCGCGTGGGATTAAAAAAAAAACATAATTAGTAGCCTATACGTTCTCTCAGACTATGTTCTATATTTTTGCCAAATTTTATCGAGATCCGTTCAGCCGTTCTTGTGATTCCTTCAAACAAACATCCATCCATCTATCTAAAAAATCGCATTTGTAATAGTAAGATAAAACAAAAAAAGCGGTTGCAGTAAATCGTGGAATAGCTAACAATGATAAATCAACTAACCGTTTAGCTAATTATACTATCTTAGAACTAATGCATTTGGTTACTTGTAAATAAACCAAAAATCTTGGAGTTGCCTACAGATTTTGTTCTTTTGAGATGTACTTTTTATGTACGGAGACAGGGAACAAGCAAGCTTTCAAATTATGTTAAACGACAATCTTTAGTCAGGGGTGTCTGGGTAAGGCCCTTCGTACAAAAATCGTAAATCTTCGAAACCTGGCGATTTTAGTCGCTAATCGTCTTACGCAATGCAATGTCATATAGGTATACAGGCGCGCGTCGCGGACATTTTAATCTTTAGGTGCCAAAAGTAATCACTC